AATGAAAACCGAAAAATCAAATCAAATAACGGAAAACAAAAACAACCAAAAAAGTAAAAGCAATCGTTGACTACAAGAGCGCAAAGACTATATTTACTTGATTTTGTTGTGCATTGGATTCAGTGCTAAAGATATTCTTTGATTTCAAAGAATTTTCATATTTATTTCAGAGATATTTTGTCAACATTTCAATGAATGAACGAATGAATGAATGAATTGATCGGAGAAAAGAGATTATTAATTATGGATTCAATGAATGGATTGAGTAATGAAAGGATGAGAGCGCCATTGGTTTAGGGCTGATATATACCTTATAACGACTGGTGTACGTGAGGTCCAGTTCCGTCTCTTCGAGTTTGAACGACATTCCCGGCGCTTTAGTCATGAACTTGACGTAAACGGCTTCTCCGGGTTGAACTCGGATGACAAGTTCATTGCGTTTGCACTGACCGTTGAATATATCTCCGGCCACATCCCGGAACTGAATACGGATTTCCGCTTTTCGCTCATTTGTCGCTTTGCCTGCAAACACATCAACCCTTCATTAGAGCCCAATAACCAATCAATTGGTGTTCGCCTCAACACTAACCGCAACGCATGAAGAAGGGAACGCCATCCCAGCGCTCGTTATTAATACGACACAAACCCAACGCAAACGTTGGAGTGGTAGAACCGGGAGGAACTGTCGGGTCGTCTAAATAGCCGTATTTGGCGTCTCCCTCACCGGCCTTATCGCCCACGTATTGGCCCAAAACGATATCATCGGTAGTTAGGGTTTGCATACATTTTAATACTTTGACCTAAAAGTGAATTAAAGGTTTGAGAAATGAAAAACAAATTAAACTCTAAATTGAATCACTTTTTCATCTCTGATGTCTTCAGCGCGCGAAGAGACGGGTTTCTCCATCGCAACCAAACACAAGATCTGCAACAAATGGTTTTGCATAATATCGCGAATAATGCCGAATGTGTCGAAATAACCGCCCCTTCCCTGTGTCCCAAACGGCTCTTTAAACGTGATCTGAATGGAGGCGATGTTATCGCGATTCCAAATCGGGTTAAATATTCTGTTGCCGAACCGCAAAATCATCAGATTCTGGACCATCTCTTTGCCTAAATAGTGGTCAATGCGATAGATCTCATCCTCGTTGAAGAGAGAGGCCAAGTGTTTGGAGAGTTGAGCCGATGAGTCAAAGTCGTGGCCAAAGGGCTTCTCAATGATAACACGACTCCACCCCCTAATGAACAATACAAACGGAATTAAATCATCAATGAATTGAAAGCATCAACAAATACGATGCCATACGTGGGTGACATCAACTCCTCTTTGATGTGTTTAGTGACGGGCGCGAAGACGTTGGGCGGAAGCGCCAAATAGAAGAGTCGATTCACTTTCTCGTAGCCATTCTCCAACTCCTTTGCCTTTTCGTTCAGATTCCTGAAGGCCTGGGACTCGTCGTAAGCGCCGTTCACATAACTATTCCGTTCAATGAATTTGTCGAACTTCTCCCTTTCGGTCTCGTCTTTCAGTTTTATATATTTCGATATATTATTCTTGAGGTCATCGCCGGATAGTTTGGTCCGCGCGTAGCCCACAATCACTGTCTGCCTGGGTATGAGTCGATCCCGGAATAATGCCCTTCAGAATCAGACACATAATAATCATTAGATTACAAAATATTACATTAATCGCCACAAGAATCCAAAAATAAAACAAATAAAAAATAATTTACAAAAACAAAGAGAAATTAATGACAATAAAGAAAATTTTCTTTTATGAGAGACTATTACAACAAAAATCGATAAAATATAAATAAAAAACTTTCAAATGAATTATGAATTCAGAATAAACAGTATTTCAAGTATTTATTTAGTATATTATTTTTTATTGCTTTTGTTATCAAATAATGATTATATAATACTCACCATAACGTGGGATAGATTTTCTTTTTGGCCAAATCGCCCTAAAAGTGTATAATTGAGTTAAAAATCTATTAAAACGTTTTGCATTTTAATTATATAGAAAAAGATTGCGAAAACTTCGAGGAAAATAGTTTTGAAATTAAAATTAAGCGTCAAATAAAAATTTATATATTTATTTTCTTATCAAACACTCGTTACTAGAAAGCAATGGAAAAGTGAGATAACAATTGATAGAAAAAATTAAGAGGAAAAGTATTTGTATTTAAAAATTAAAACATAATTTTTTATCACATTCTCAGCGAAAGAGGAAACGACTTTTCAATGAGAAAACTATTTTGCAGTAAATGTATAAATAAAAGTGTTATCAAAGTCTAACTGTTTTAATAGCTAAACATTGTTTTACATAATAATCAAACTCATGGCAATCGATTGACAAACTTTATTCAATAGTTTTTGTTAATTAAAGTGAACCAGAATTGCAGTTATTATAGGAAATAAATATCCAGATAGAGTTAACTCGCAAAACTATTGAAACGATTTAAATTTTGCTAGGTTAAAATTGTAACCTTAATAATACATATTTTTATAAAACACTGTATTTGACTATTATAATGCGCCAATATACCAATTTTATATAAATACAAATGTACCTGTACTAACTTAATAGAGTTAACATGTTCATTTATCATAAGTTTAAATAGATTCTGCAATTTTGTCACTAAAAATAGATACAAAATATGTATAAATATAGTGAGAGATATGAAGTGAAGTGTGAAGGGGTCTAATAAACTGCAAATCAGG